TGGACTGGTAAATATCCAGCAGTTACAGAACAAAATGATCATTCATTTGGAGTTGCTAAATGCTTCACTATGTTCACCAGCAAGTCACCAACTGTGTCTGTCTGCTGTTTTGTGCTGGGTTATTTCAGCTCCATAAAGCCAATTATTTTTAATATCAATAATAGCCTACTTGTTGTTTTTCCACAATGAAAGTTGGGTTCTCCCACTGCACGAATTAAACGTGGAGGTCTAGCAGACCAAGAGTATTTTAGTAATTTTGGAACTGAAACAAATGCCATATTTGGTTCAACTTTATTGTCAATATACTTGTATTCAAACAAAACATAGTCTTGTCATTCACCAAGATGGTGGAACTAAATATAATTAATAAAAAATACAATAAATAAATGTAAAAATTATGTTCAAAATAATTTTAAGAAGCAAGAAACTCAATAAAAACACTGTACATATAGCTTATGTACTGTAAGTAGCATCCAGACAAAGCTCTAGTGGTTGAAGAAGTAACATATTTTTTGGTCATTCTCAAAATAACCTAAAAGTAAGTACAAAGTAAGAGTGCCTTAGTACCAACAGTAAAAGAGGTACAGTTATTGCTCAGTCCAGTCATACAGTAATTTACAAGTTTATCAGGCACACCAGATCAGTCTACTGCAGTCCAATGAAACCGGCCTGCAATAAATCAATCTTTGTAAAGCTTATCATGTTGAATTTTTTTATTTAGCTCTAAGGTCGTTATTGGGACTGCACTTAGTGCACTTGGTGTATTATTATACTGAGAGGTGATTTTAATACTTGTGTGTGCTCCTCATAAATGTAAATGGGGTTGGGCAAAATGTTAACTTTCAATATAGTATTCTCGTCATACAGAACGTTTCCCTATATAATGCTGTAAGTATAAAACCCAGCAATATAGTAATGACTGCAATATTTTATGTAATTTTATTCAAAAATAGCTAAAATGTCCATCACGTAAATTTTAGCTGTTTTAGGTTTCTATAAAAAATGAATAACACTCACTGTTAGTGTATTTAACCCAAGTGCAATTTGTATTCCTGCATCCTTCTAAGATGTAAATTTCATCTGAGATTCAGTGGCAGTATATTGACCAAAACCACATCACAGCTGTTTTTATGCTTCTTCAACATGTCAGTATAAAGTATAAAGTGATGTGCAGAAGTTTGGTAACCCTAGAACAAATTTCATGCTTGCTAGTTAAAGTGCAAAGTAATCTACATAAACTTTGGAGGAAACCCTTTAATTCTCCAGTGTTTCTATTTCCCTCTCTCTCTCTCTCTCACATATACACACACACACACACACACACACACACACACACACACGCACGCACGCGCACACACACACACACACACACACACACACAGCCAACTTGCTAGTCAGATTACAGTAGCTCCATTTTATGGCATTCTCCTTGCAGCTGTTCTTTACAAGTCGGATCTTGAATGGTGGTAGACATGGACCGTTTCGTTTGGCGCTCACTTAGAGCTCTCTGAAGAGACTGCTGTGTTTGTATGTGTGAGTGTGTGTGTGTGTGTGTGTGTGTGTGTGTGTGTGTGTGTGTGTGTGTGTGTGTGTGTGTGTGTGTGAGTGAGTGTGAGTGAGAGAGAGAGAGAGATGTCATGCATACAACACTACAACACAGTCATGATGCCCTGATGTGACTCCTATGTGGTCACCACATTTAAGTTAGTATTTCCCTCTCTCTTTCTTTCTTGCCCTCTATCTGCCTTTCTCCTTCCTTCTCCTTAACTTCCCACAGCCTCTTTCCTGTGTGGTCCCAAGCAGTTCTCTCTTTACTTTCATCTCGCTTGAAGAGATAATGAGTTTGATTGCATCACCCACAGAGTCATTTGACAAAACTTTGGATTAAAAAACACTTTGATCATTTAAAAAAAATCCCAAAAGGAAGAAATTGTCAGTGAAAAAGAATTATTACTATACCACGTGTTTTGCTGCTACTGTATGTAGCACCCATGAAACCTTTTTTATTCCATTTGTTCTTTAAGTTGATATATCATCCATGGCAGACATCAGCTCAGAGGAGAATGGGTGGACATAGCTCCAATAGAGATCATGTCAGTATGTGGTGAGAGGCCAAACAATGTCCATCAAGAGACATCACATTTAGACACCACTGAGTTGGAGCAGGTGCACAGCCACAAGCCACAAGATTGCAGCTAGTTTTAACACTTTCCCATTTTCGTGGAGTGATGGGAGGTCTGGTAGAGCAAAACGTCAATGAGGTGACTGAGACCGACTGGAATTAACCTCATTGGTGATATATTTTCGTGTTATCACCAAAATAAACAATTATATATGTACGCAATGACTTTAGATGTGTGAATGTGTGTATTGGGCCATGTTAGTTTCTTTGGAGAAAGAGAGGAAAACAAAGGGCCTTGGTCTTACTAGTTGTTGGAGGGATTTGGTGAGTGTATGTGTCGTTGCATTTGTGTTTCTAGGTGTGCATGTGTGTGTGCCCCAGAGCATGGACTTAGCCTTTTTTGTCACATTCACATGCACATGCACCGACACAGATAAACCAAAACCCACACATATCTACATACAAGTTGGCTGGTTTTGCTATACTTAAGAGGACTATAGGAGGACGTGATGCACAGTAGAGTCCCTGAAACCCCTGTACTGCAAGGTTTAAAAAAAACAAAAATCAGTTGACACCTAGAAAGTAATTTTGCCACTAACCCTCTACCCATTACCCTCAAACAATCTTTTTGATCCATCCAAAATGCCCTCCCAACCGAAAATGTCCTCCCTAGAATAGTGACCTGTCTAAAGTCAATCCCCACAACTGCAGACAAAACCAGACCACACACTCTCACACACGTGCTGGGAGCTACCATTGGCTCTGCAAAGAGGGTCCCCTCCTGTCCCCATCCCCTCTTGCCTGCAGCTGCTGGCCAGCCTGTCAGTTCCCAGGCATCAAGCCATCAGACACGACGCCTCCTCACGCCACCAAGTGGTAATCACCTGTCCTACACTGCTCAGCAACAAGGACCCTATCCTGGCAGCAGTAGAAGTTAAAATGCAACCAAGTGTTTATAGCCTCATGGTGTTATAAGATCAATGAGTGCGTTTAAGCGGGGAATGAAGGTTCAAGCCATGTAAGAAAACCATTTCATGAAAAAAATGTGTGTGACATTAACAGATTACTTAAAGAAAACATGTGACGCCGTAGTCATGAATATCTCATTCCAAAAAAGTGCTACAATTTCACAATTTATTTGAATATATTTAGAGATTCTAGATGCAAATAAATTCTTATTCAAGGGAGAAAATTAATCATTGAATGAGCAATTTAAAGGATAAGGATATTCCATTTTTTTGCGCGTCAACAAATCCAATGAAAAGACTGGCCAACTGTGCAGCAGACTGTCTCACAATACTTTCTGACTTCTGATTCGCTCAGCCCCAAGCTCATTCTGAAGATGTAAACTTTATACTATTTAGTTTCATTTAAAAACAAAAAGGACAAGTGATTTTCTAAAATGCCTGGGCACTGTAGTTTTTAGGCAGCGTTACCCAAACAGGAGTAAACAGTGCATTTGTCTGGGAGTATTTTCAGCTATGGATTTGCTGGTGAACATTTATGGCAGCAGGATGGTCTAGATGGGATCGTTTCATAATGAACAACAGTTAACATGTTCCTGGTAATGAGGGATCACTTAATTGTTCCTTTTGCTCTTTCTCTGTTGTGGGGTTGTTTGTGGAGAGTATGCCATGGCCTCAGTATCTCCCTGAACTACTTAGACATCACAGTGGGTTCCGTCATGTGTATAGTAATGTGTAGATACATGTACTTGCCTTATGTGCAGGTGTGTGTCATGGAAAATCTGTTATTTCTGAGCCATGTTATGACACATCCTTGCTATATCCGTGACCTCTACTCACACACCACTGTGGGTTCAAAGTCAAGTTTATAGGAATGTGTGCATGCATTATGAATATAATTTGTGTGTGTGTGTTTGTGTTTGTGTGTGTGTGTGTGTGTGTGTGTGTGTGTGTTCCTAAACCAGTGTGCACACATTTAAGGATTAATATTCTGCCCCTAATAAGTGGGAAACAGGCAGAAATCTGGGGATAAAAAGAGGCTGGGGAGATGTGCTGCAGGTGAAGTGCAGGGAGCGAGGGGTGGAGGCAAAAGGAACAGGGGCTCGACAGTGGGGGGGCTGTTCAGTTCAGTGAGTAATTGTGGTGAGGGTCATACAGGTCTGGACCTCATTAAGAGAATTGTCTGGGAACTATCAGGCTCTGAGCTGTCATCATGTCACCTGTCTTCTTGTCTTAGGAGGCAGCGTAAAGAAAACAGTGCCTTATTAACATGTCTTTCAGTTTTCCATGTCCCACAGTTCACTTTAGAGTGGGGAAGATCAATACACACATGCGCACACATAGCAGTTTTGCAGCAAACACTTTAAGGAACAAGCCCATTACAGACATGCTTGCGTCTGGCATCTGTGGACTTGAGGCATATTAAAGACAGGTACATCATCTCAACCAGTATCGCTTTTGATCGTCTTTTGGGCGCTTTTTCTCTTCAACAAACCTCCTTCTGTTCTTAATTTGTATTCACCGGGGGGTTCTTCACCGTCTGAGGTTACATAGATGGGAATTGGGGGGGATTTGGGGGATCTCTCTCCAGCAGCTTTTTAAAGAGGGTGAGGTATCAATCAGGTGCTGATGTCAGACTGATGCAATGTTTCAGCCTATAGAGGAGGTTACTTCTGGACACTGTGCTGCTTTATATCAACTTACCAACAGCTAATGTAGATCTCATTTAACCATTGAAAAATTATACTGTGAACAAATGTGCTAAGAGAGCTACATGATGTTTGATTTTGTGTTAATTAGGAGCTTTCTTTCAGGGACATATGCATTTTAAAATGTAACTAATTATCTGTTTGGTGCTTTTCAAGAGTTGGGTCTATGTTCACTAAACTGTACTACAAAATCACAAAAATGTGCACATTTTATAGTGCATTTGCACCTATTTATTCTCATGCTTAAAGTGTAATTCAAAGCATTCAGCCAAGAAACAGAATACAATAAAAAAAGTCGTCTTCCATTTCAAATAGTTATACATTCAAGAGTGAAATTATTTAGTATAAATAGAATAAAATATCTGTGCGTCATAGAATAGAATATCTCTTTTTAAAAACATTTTCTAACCATTTCAGAGTAGGAAATTCAGCATTCACATGAAGCAGAATAGAGCAGAGAGAAAAGGATACATAGACATTCAAAGATCAGCAGGTGCACAGCATTGTTCCCAAAACCCAGAGATAAAATTCTCATCAGTTTGTAAGCCAATACAAACTGTACTAATATAATTAATATATAATTAATATATTAAAAATGAAGCTACACGTTGTACTGCAAGTGTGCAATCAGCCCAAGGATATCTCCCACAGCAAAAATATCAGGTACTTTAAGGACGAGGTGATTATCCCACAATAAGGTGCAGGGTTGGTTAGCTTGAGTCAGCTTCTTTTGAAATTCTATTTCAGCAGTCAGAAAGTTTAAGTCCTGACATGAAAAATCTGAATCAGAATGACTCCATAACCCTGCTTAGAGGTGAAACAGCGCTATGGGGCAGAGGCTGACTAGTCGGCCTTCTTGCAGCTTGTTGTCTCTGCACTCTCTGACTCCTCTTTGGCTTTGAGCGATCGACTTTGTAGCTTGACAGGGGAAACTGGGGTACGCTGCGCTGCTGCTCCATTCTCATGGGACTCTTTGGTTGTTGCAGAGGAGGTCGTCATATTGGTTTTGCCACTGTCAATACACTCTTTCTTTAAATCGTCATTGAGGACAGCATAAGGAAAGTAGCCGGTGAAGAGGGTCTTGTAGACAGCCGACTCGATGGCAGCAAATGGCGAGGCAGAGGAGCCTGTCAGCATCATCCTTGACTAATAAAAGAGAAGAGAAAAGTGTCAAGACAGGATGTGAGGAGAGAGGGTGTAATGTGATTATTGGTTTAGAATAGAGTATATGTAACTATCTAATCCTTTGGAAAAGTCTCATATTCCTTCACCATATCAGCTATCTTTAAAGCTGCTATAATAAATATTTTTAAATTAACAATTCATCACTTGACTACTAATACATGAAAGGGGCCGCTACAGAGAATGATCAATTGTGCAGCTCCCTTCAGATCTATGTGGCTTTAAAGCTTCTTTTAGCTCTTTGTTTTGGTTTTCAAGCCAACAGCTTTACTGTTTTGGTTTACTCTCACCGCTCGTATCAGCAACATTTTCAGACAAAGAAGGAAGCGGTTTAAAAAGCTTTAAAAATATTTTGTGCAGGCACACCCGGTTAGCAACTTGCTAGTGGTCATAGTGGAGTATTTAGCAGCTAAATAGCCAAGTATTTCCTTCAAGAGTTGGTGGAGACCAAAAACAGAGCTAAAAAGAGAGTGAATATTGGACAGTCATCAGGTAGCCAGAAACACAACTTTAAATGAATGTTAATGTTGCTCTGAATCTGCTGGATGTGTATTTAGACAACTGTTTGCCAACTTTATAATATGTCAGTGATCTATTGACAGCATTTTCCTCTGTCCTCAAGTTTTATTGCAGAATTAAAATCTCCAAAATCCAAAGTGATTTAATTCAAAAACACATTGTGAGGTTAAGTCTCCTACAAATACAAGATGGTATTGGAAAATTTGCTCATGCAATATGCCCATGGTATGTAGTTTTTTTTTCCATGGAAAGCGTGTCATACATACAGAGTTTACAAACACACAAAATAAATGGCTAATATATTAATATTTTATTGTCATTAGGGGATGAGAGCATAACTTCAGCATCATCAGAAACAAAAAATAATAAATAGCAGGTTTGGACACAACTCTTAAATCTGACGAAATGGCTTGGCGTTAATTTGACAGATCAGAGTCAGAGGGAGCTAACAGAATGAGAGTTGAAAGAAGACATAGTAGATTTATCTGTGTCTCAGTCAAGAGCACAAGTTTCCCAGAGAAGAGAAGGGTGGATGATGCAAGCTGATGAAAATGATGCAAAAGCCCCAGCCCTACGGGTAATACCGAGCTAATGTGAGTCACATTAGTCAAAACTTCAAAAAAGCAGAGAGAGTAAGGTCATTTAGAAGACAAGATACCACAGATGTTGTACACATTTGTTATACCTGAGTCAAGTTGAGATCAAATATGAATGGTTTAAAATGGTTTTCTTTGCAATAGGTAACCAATTAAATGTACCAAACACGCTTTCTTGTTTTGTATCTGAATCACGACCACCTTGGGTAAATACTTTCAAGGTCACAGCGTCAGGTATGAGTTACGCTCAATGCATCAGACTGACCTTGTTGACGACGGTAAAGATGGTGTAGACGAGCATCAGGTGATGCTTCTGGAGAGGCAGGTAATGGGTTTGCTGCAGAGCAAACAGCACCGCCCCTATCAGGGTGATCTTGGTGGGGCTTAACAAGCATGCAAAAACGAAGCAGTTATTATATAATATTGGTTTCAAAAATATTAAAACATCTAAAATAATGAGGGTGAACTTTATGCACACACTTAAAAAGACACCACATCTTATGTGCTTGAATTATTTTGCACAAATTAACTAAACTAGAGACACACATCATCACTGTAGATGTAAAATGGCATCCCCTTGAGTAAATAACTCATCAGTTTGCTGCCTTAAGGTAACAAAAAGAACATTTTTCTCAAGCTTTTTATACGCACATCTCTATCTTGGGTTCGGAATAGTTTGGCATTTTGGGAAATATGCTTATTCACAGTCTTGCCGAGAGGTACTTGAGATTATCCTTACCACTCTCATGTCTGTAAGGTAAATGTGTGGTTCTTAAAGTGGGGTGCGGGGACCCCCAGGGGTCCTTGAGGGGTTCCAGGGGGCCCCCAGAAAAAAGGGGAATCATTTCTTTTCACTATAATTCCATCCATAAGTAACATAGTGACCGAACATAACCAGTAGAGACTCAAAGGAGTGACTGCGCCCAGCACACAACCTTGTAGTCTTTACGTAAATAAGCATATGTTCCAAAATGTCTGTATTCCTTTCCATTTTCATTACACTCAAGACACCACAATACACATTCAGTGTACTGAAATTATAGTTTTATGAGTACTAAGTTAAGACAAAAACCACCTATGTAATATAAAAAGAGATCTATAGAAGACTTACTAAGACATTTTGAGGAGCTCATTAGTCTCTGGTTTCCATACACCTCGAACAAGCTGCTCAAAATTACTTATAAGACCACCTCCAGCTCCTAATAGTAGAAAAGAGACACATACATATTCATATGGGAATACATGTCTGATATAATATTATCATTAAAACACTATGGTTACTTCATAGCTCTTTCAGCTATGTTGTAAAAATTCTTCAGCATGCCCCATCAGCTACTGACCTCTAACCCACCCAATGGCAATCATAACCAGCAGACTGTCCTTGTATTTGCTGTGTGCCTGGGTGACCCCACCGAGCACCTTCCACGTCCTGGTCACTTCCTTCATTCCTGACAGCACCAGCCTGAGAGGCAGCAGGGCAGCGCAACAGTAAACCAGGTCCATGGGGCAGTAGAACACCAGGTACCTGTATAGACACATATGGCTCAAATAAATACTGCGCGCACACACACACACATACACACAAACAAACTCAGCTACGTGCTGTGTGTAATGTGTTCATTAAAGATTTTGACAGTATCACATGCCAGTCTCCGCACTTCACCAGCAGGGGGCAGTGTGTATTTTTGTGAAAAGAGTGTAATTATATGTGCCACCAGTAGAGGGTACCACAGGCTCCATATTAAGAGGCGGGAACTGTACAATAACTTCACTGTTTCATTCAGTGTCTTCCACATTTCATGCTCCCTTTAAAGGAAATCGAGCAGCTGCATATTTCTGCATAGAGGAAAAGACACTGACATGTTTGTTTATCCCTTTTCCTCAAAGTTGCAGAGAGCCTCTCACTAATCCTGTTGTTGCTTCACAACCTTTGTCCATCTACATACTATATATTTCAGTCCCAGATATTTACCAAATGATTGAAGCAAGCAGAACACTGGTGCTGTTGGACAAAGGGGCAACAGCTGGTTCGGCCAGCATGATCCCAGATAGCACAGCTCCACCAAAACAGAAGAGCATGGAGCTGAACCAGCAGGCTAAGGGGCTGACCCTGGAGACCTCAAGAGCACCTGCACAAAAACAGAAGTAAATTTACCAGCAGGATCATTGTAGAGTCCCCCATATGTGGTATATTGTCCATACATAAAGGTATAAGCATTCCTACAGGATCTGTAAAAGCCTGGGAACACCTTGCAATGACTGTTGAAGCATTAAACATAGACATGTTTACTGTCATATATAAATCCATCCACTACAACAAAGATTAAGAGACATGCTTTGTGGATATGAGTAACATTTAGTCTAGACTAAAAGGTGAAGTCTACAATATTGTTGCATAAACCAATTCATCTTAAACATATGAGGGTATTAAAAAACAGTGGAGTTAGAGCTAACCAAAACAGGGAACAAAGAGATAGAGGTTTGTCAGGCACATTACTCGCATCTGGGCCCACAGTTCAAAGTACAGAGCAGAGGCACAACATTTACAGATAACAACGAGCTTCTCAATGATCCCTCTGTTTCCACCCTGATTAAAAAGTACTCTGTATTCCTTTTTGCCACTTGAACCATTTACATGCTTACTAACATGAAAAAACATGAGTTATAGGCAACTCAAAAAGAATGTGACCTGCTGTGTATTATGACATTTAGATGTTCTTACTGTAAGTCTCCACTGTAAAATAATTGTTACTTAGCTACTGTTTTGGACATCCTTCATATAACTATAAAACTCTTACCTACCCTTGCAGAGATAGTCCAATACTATCTTAATTTTAAACCTGTCCTGCCCAGCAAGCAGGTACAGAGTATGAGGAGCTGGATACAATGTTGTGCCAGACAGATTTAACCTTAACAAGAGATAAATATACTCCTTTGTCTGTTTTAGTATTTATTTAAATTTATTTGTCACCGGGCCGGACAGGGGGGCAGACATGGGGATGGGGGGAACAAACACAGCACAAAGAAAGACAGCACAGAGAAAGGACAACACCTGCAAGAGAACGGGGATGGGGGGTGGGGACAACAGGAAATAGCAGAGTGAAACACCATTTGCTGAAAGTAACAAAAGAGAACGGGGAGGGGTGCTTGGGGCAGAGAATAACAAACAACAAACAAACAAAAAACAAAGAGACAACCAGCCGAACAGCAGCAATAAACAGCTGACATAGGAAGACAACTGAGAGAGAAATGAAAATGAGAAACAGTCAAGCAAAATAAATAAACAACACAGCACAGCCATGAGAGCTGGAATAATAACCATCCATCCATCCATTTATACTGCGTACAGGGTCGCAGGGTGGAATAACAATTAATTTAAATAACTGAAAGAAAAGCATCAAGAATAATTTTACCAGGGACAACCTAAATGTGTGTGTGTGTGGGGGGGGGGGGGGGGGGGGCATGTGGGTGCATCTGTGAAAACCATGCTAACATCCATGTTTGTGTTTATGTGTGTTAAGTATTCAAGCAGAGCAGAAGTCCCATCCCAGGACAAACAGGTCAGTGGAGTGCAATAGGTATTAGCCTGTTACAGAATGTAGTTGTTAGTGAGAGTAGGACGCCACAACCGTGCCGCACCGACTCCAGCGACAGGCAGGCAAGAACCCTAATAGCCAATAGGGGTGGGAGAAAAAAAAAGAGTCACTTGTGACTCTACCAAAAAGTTAATGCTGCCAATGTACACTATGTGTTTCACTTAACCTCAGACAGGTAGTGCTCAGTCAAACCTGAGCCACCTGCCCCGAGTCAGTATGGCCGCACACAGGACCATACTGGTAATCTGAGGATTACAGACGATTATAGACTCCTGTGGGGGGGGGGGACCAGGAGGGTTTATAGCTCTATCTGCTTCCTCTGCAGGCTCCCAATGTACTCAGTCTGTGAGGCTCACTTTTTAACTTTCCTCTCACTTATGAATAAGAATTAGGAATATTCAAATGATTTTAAGTTTCTGAATGAGAGACATTTAAGAACATTTTCATTTCTGATGCTGAAAAGAAGGGGAAAAAAACTGAATGACACATAATATGCTGTTTGAGTATGACACAACGTGGGGGGGGGATTAAAAACTTAGATCCCTTACCAATACAACAAAGTAAAAATACTCCATTACAAGTAGAAGACCAGCGTTTAAAGTATTCAAGTTATAAAAGCTAAATTTACTTAAGGTATCAAAAATAAAATTACCATGATACACAACCATTTGGCAACCATTAATATGAACTTTTACACGCAGCAAAAGTTCCTATTAATAGATTTTGAAGCTCATATTATTATTTTGTGTCTTCCTTTGATTTGAGGGATAACTATGCTGCAAGTTTTGGAACTACAGTTCCCATAGTTTGAGGGCTATGGGGGATATAGAAAGTTTGTTGTTGCCATGGAGTCAGTTAGTTAGCTGTGGCCTACAATCTGAGGTCCATTCTCTTTGCCTATATTTGTTTACATTTTGGCAAATAGCAAAATATCAATTAGCTATTAAAGGTTCTTGTTTGCAATGTATCATTGGACCTACAGACAACTATCACTGGATTACTTTGATACAGAAGATGTGATGATTCTCAGGGAAGGTGTAAGGTGTGTCTCAGTGTCCAAATTTAGGTGCGGCTAGCTTAATCACCTTCTCAGAAACAAGTGACAGAAACACTCAAAGCAGGTCAGACCGTTTGTTGCCTTTTCTAAAAAGTCAGCCACAGATGAGTGGATGTGCTAGGAGACAATTCAACAGAACAGTGTCTGCAAACAGCCATTTTTGCATCTTTCTCAGACACTTTAAAATGCACACTGCCGACATGTCAACGTAATAATTCGGTAAAATTTATTCGGTCTTTTGACGTCGATTAATTTCTGTGGCCGAACATTCGGTGCATCCCTAATTTAGTGTATATAAATTTTTCAGATAATATTGAGTAGCTCAAAGGGAACTACAACTTAATCTTGTTATACAACCCTGTGTTGTAAAATGATAAATAAATCTTCCTTGATATTATAACTACTTTCAGATAGGGCAGACTTTGTGAATTTAAAGAAAACTAACTTTTGGTCTACCAAAGCAGGAAAAGCTGCATATCTTTAAGACGCTGACAATGTACAGCACGTGTTCTATTCCATTTGCTTCCTCGTTATCTTTAAAAATACGTGTGTTTTTAAGGACACAAAAAATAAGAACTGATTGGCCCAGTGTCTTATTCTATTATCTTTCTATGATCTTGTGGGTGTTTGTTTATTCATTGTTTATGTATACAATAATCTATTTTTTTTTTTTTTTAATGTGTGTTTTATTATTAAAGTATGTATTTTGGTGCAAATTGCGAGCCTTAATAACCTCCATGAGCCACTGCTGCTGCTCAACCACTGATAGTGAGCAGGCCAAACAAAATAACTTCCTGTTGTTTTCAGAAGGTCGGTATGCATCTGTTCCTTTCATCTCTCTTTTTTCACCTCACGTCTCTCCCTCCACACCTGCCTCCAACTCTCGCTGGGTAAGCATGTCTCACAACACCTCTGCTATACCAGAACTAACTAGTAGGAATACAAAAACAGAGAAGTATCAAAGTTAACAGTTTTTTTGTGAGTTGAATTTTGCAAGTGAAAACAGTGTCACAAGTCCGTTTTACTGGTGCACATTAAGTCTGATGTAATGAACTTTTGTGTTCCTCCTCATCTAAACTAGTTGCCACAGTTAGATGAGAAGGAAGTTGCCAAAAACAACAAAGACAAGAAAAATGCCTTCCAACGTCAGATAGGAAAAAGTGGTAATACACATGCTCAGCACATGTCCTCTTTGTGTCTCACAGCAGATGTAGCACACAGTTCACAAGTGCAGCACATTGCTAGCATACTAAACATTGTTGTTAGGTCATCACTTTTAGTTCCAGAGCGAAACAAACTGCTGTAGTCTGTGTCTGAACCTAACTGGCAGAGCACCAACTTTCAAGAGGAAAAGTAATTTTGTTTCATTTAAGAGATAGCAACCTTTTTTAACAAAGCATAATTTCAATCCCCATATGCATGGATGCAACAAATGCATTCCAATTATGACGGACCACCCGCCCGGCTTCCTGTGCTGCTCTGTTTTCTTCTTGCAGGAGCCTGGGTGGGTCATTAGAGCAACTGGCTTCACCTGAGAGGTGGGAGGGACTAAAGACACAAAAAGGCTACTCCCCAAAGTACCCAAGGCGGTCTCTCTAACCTCAGTATATTTACATGGCCTTCAAACTTTTGGTTTGGGTTTGCATCTATTAAAACACTCACACACATACCTTCATCTATCCATACGCGCCTCACACTAGGGGTGACCCTGAACAGTCGATAGGCGCCGCCTGTTTCGACTCTGAATCTCACAGTCGAAGAGACATTATGAAACAAGGATCATGTTCGAATCATTTGTCACCACTGATGAACCACACAAAGAATATAAAATAATTTTTAACAGTACTTGGAATAGACCAGCGAGGAACCGCAACGTGCATGTATTACTATGTAAATCCTTAGTCGGGGACACCCCTACCTTTCACAACTGACTTCATCCATATCTCTACCTTTTCTTTTCTTTTTTTTTTTTACCAATTATGTGAACGTGTGTGTGTGTGTGTTTGTGGACTCCTTTTGTTACAAGCCTGAGTCAAGTTTGTAAAGCAGTGCATACAGAAATATAATACACTGCTAGGACTGCTCTGACATGCTGAGCTACACACACACACACACACCCTTACCAGAAGTTCCGGTTTCCTGTTTTGCATTTGAAGGAGACACATTTACAAGTCAAATATGGGGTATATAGGTATAAGTACACCACAGCTGTAACATGTCATACTGTGTCGGTTGTATTTTCAATTCCTTTTTTTCCCCCTCTCTTTCTTCTCTATTATTTCGATCTATTTCTCTCTGTACATCTCCAATGGGAAGGTAGAGAGTGGACTCTGTTGTTGTTGTGGCTAGGGCTGCAACTAATGACTATTTTTGTAGTCGACTAATCTGTAAATTATTTATTAGATTAGTCGACTAGTCACGATTATTTTTGTCACCCCCTAACCCTAATTAAACCATTTAACTAATTAAACAACTT